GTTTCTCAATCTTAGTGCATTTCATCATGTATGAAGTATGGACACCTATGGTTATGGAAGTACTTTGAATAAAGTAAGTGTGTCAGAAGCACAAAATACGACTGCATGGTGGCAATTCACTGGAATAGGTTGTTGTCCAGAGAGGCTGTGGATGCCCCATCCCTGGAGGCGTCCAAGTCCAGGCTGGATGTGGCTCTGGGCAGCCTGGTCTGCTGGTTGGTGACCCTGCACATAGCAGGGGGTTGGGACTGGGTGATCATTGTGGTCCTTTTCAACCCAGGCCATTCTACGATTCTATGATTCTAAGATTCCACAATTCTATGAACAAAGGAGAAGCTTCTTGCACTATGATTCATTCGTAATTGTATTTTTTTTTGTCTCATGTCTCCTTGACCTGAGGCTGGAAGAAATGCATCTAAGATCAAACTTGCTTATGCAGTTGCAGTTGCATGACTCTGCACATAGCAGGGGGTTGAAACTGGATGATCACTGTGGTCCTTTTCAACCCAGGCCATTCTGTGATTCTATGATTCTATGAATTTTGGACTTTGAAGCCCTGGCCTTGCGAGCACCATGGTTATTTCTCACAGTGTCCCCTTAGCCATGAACCTGCTGAAATTTGGATGCTGTCAGACCACACACAACCTCACAGCAGTGTCATGCCTCAGCCTGCTTTGTATATTGTTTTTGTGTCTTTGCTTTCCTCATTTGAAGAGCACCATTTGCTAGAGCAGGTCATGGGGTTTGTTTTTACATTTGTTTTAAATATACACTGCGGTTCTGTGTTTGGCTCAGAGCAAGACAGAAAAACCTTTGCCATTGTGCATTCATTCTGCAGCATGAAGACGTAAGTGCAGATACCAGTGAAGGTCACCACAGTTTGTGAGGCTTCTGGGAGCCCCATCTCCATAGGTACCAACAGCAGCAGTCAGCTCTTCTCTAAGCTATGCCACCCGGTGATCACTGACAAGCAAAGCTAAGATAGGTTTCATGCTATCCATGGTAATCTTTGCCTTACTCTTGAAGAAGAAATGCTGGGCCTTTGCTTCCTTTGGATCAAAGATCTGAAGAGGGCATGGCTGATGACAAGGGCCAAGGGCTTCCTTTACTTCAGCATTAATAGGAAATTTTATCAAGCGGTGGTGCTTTGTGCAAGCCATCACTTTCAGCACTCTTATCGAGGCTCTGATATTGGCTTATCTAATCTAAAACAATACGAACTGGTGCTTGCATGTCTACAACTTGAAAGGTACAGCTTGGAGCCAGCCAGCCTGGTCCTGATTCCATTAGACCATCAAAACAACTTTAAAAAGAGAAAAAGCTGGGAAAGGTGCCACATTTAATCTTAGCACTGTCTTGGTAATGCAACCCAATGAAAGATTTGTGGATATAAGGACAGAGAATTAACTGCAGCAGAAGCATCTTTTCCTGGCCTGTCCAAACTTTTGAAGCAGTTCAGCCATGCGACCAACTTAAAGAAACCTTTGTTCCTGAAATAAAAAATAAGTGAACCAAAGATGTGAAAACTGGACAGCAGACCAAGTTCCCAGGTGCAAGCACAGCAGAAATAGAGATGATCCAAGGAATAATATGGCTTGAAATAGAGGGAAACCCACATGGGAAACCATAGCTGATGAAATTGTTACCAACTCCTTTGAATGGCTGTGGGTTTTGGGATACACAACCGGGCTTGCATGACAGGAAGCTGTGATTGAACCAACAAAAGCTTAAATTAGAACTATGGCTCAAACTGGAGTAGGCAGAGAAGGATTTTCCCTGCAGGATCCCTGAGATGAACCATAACGTCCAAGTCACCAAGCAGCAGTGCATTAAGAGGGTGTTTTTCCAGTGCCCTGGCAGACAACGTGTGAAAATGTTCACAGTTCATGGGAGCTGAGAATGGGAATCCGAGGAAGGGCTTGAAAGAAGGTGCTAAAAGCCTGCAGCTGCTTCAAGGGCAGCTGTATGCTTATGGCAGATGATACAAGAGTCACCAGCTAACTGCACTCTGGGGTGAAGCAGGCCCAGCACTGCCTGGTGACAGAAGGCATTGTCCTGCTCTGCTTTGCCTGGTGCAGCCTCACTCAAGCACTTTGTACAGGTTTGGGCACCACAACATGAGAAGGACAAAAACCTATTAGAGAGGATCCAAAAGAGGACTACATAGGTGGTGGGGGGTCTAGAGGGAAGACATGAGGAGTGGCTGAGGTGCTTGGTTTGTTCCTTTTGATTATGATCTTGCCTTGAGCAAGAGGTTAAAACAGAGCCTTTTGGAGGTCCCTCCCAGCTGGCATTTCTGTGATGCATCACCTTGGGACACAGAGAATTGGGATACGTCCATGCCTAGGAGGGAGCTGAGAAGTTTGGCGTATCTTTATCTTTGATTCAGATGAAGAAAGAGAGATGAGACAATTGTGTCCTTTTCTTCAGACGAGTTTCTAGGGGCCTATGCATTATTTTCAAAGCAAGTTAAACAACTAAGTACCTGATGGCTTTCCACAAGACATAGCCTCAATCATATTTGAAAATGATTCTTGCTTTTTCTCTTTCTGCAAACCAGACCCAAGATTTAGGCTATGAACTGAGTTTTAATGACATGGCTAATAGACTCAGCCTTGTGCTGATCAGGTGCTTTTCCATGTCTCTGGAAAATTAGAGATTTCATGTTTTAAAATATCCCATATTCTGGTGGAGAGATGTACAAATATTCTGAACTTTGCTACTGAGATTAAGTTTATCTCACCTGCGTTTGCTTAGCCAGCCTGCCTAGGTAATAATTACCCTGGCCAAATTTAATTCAGCAAAGATTTCTTCTTTCTTCTTCTTTTTTTATAAGAACGTTAGCATTTCTTTAGTAGGGGAAATAGAAAGCCACAGGGAATTAAATGAGAAGTCCCCCTGGGAATTCATTCAGCTCATATAGTCTGGGCATTTTCCACCAAATGAAAAAGAGAGAATGTAACTGTTCAGGACTCTGATGGTAGCAGAATGAGCAACTTGTACGAGAATTCACCCCACTTCAAATGTAAGCTGTCTTCTCTAGGTATCGTCCCCTCCTTTAATATATGTCAATATGCTCCCATCTGCACTCTTGGAGAGAAGTGGGCTATGGATTACTGCAGTCAAGGCTGGAAATGCAATCAGTGAACACTTGTTATTATAAATTATTTAAAATTACCAATGATCAAAAATAAAACCTCTTTGTTTTATCTGCAAGTGTTCTGTTGGTCTTGTGTTGTGTACTTCTAAGTAACTCAGCCACCCAGATTAGGCATATAAAATTCTGTGGGACAAAACCTGGTGGGCTTTTCTAGATCCTTTCTCGAGCTCTGGTCCCATTCGCTGTTTTAGTCTTGGTGGCTCTGTTTTGTTTCAAGCTGATGTGGGTCTTCCAGGCAAAGCATGGGTCTGGGACATCTGCAGCGGCTGAGCTGTCAAGCTTCCTTAGAGCTGAGGACAACATCAGATGCTCCTTCAAGCTCCTAAGGTTGGATTCATCTTCCCTAATATGAAATGCTTAGGAACACCCTGTTCACATAGGCTTCTTTTGAAGAGGTTGGAGAGGGATAAGCAGCTCTGGGATACTCCTCATGATGTATTTTCTTGTATTTATCTCCTTTGGCTCAACTACCCATCAGCTCAGATGCAGTCACTGCACTGCACATGGCTGGGGTCACCTGAGGAAGGTCCAAGGTGCCTCTCCACTGACTTAGCAGACACACATTCACTCCAGCCTGCACATGTAAATAAGTGAGAACTGGGCACCTGGCAGTGTCACTCTCATACCACCACAAAAAAGCCAAATATGCAGTGAGAAGGCAGAATGAAAGACTCATGAAGAGGAGAAGGCACGTGGGTGAAAAGTGGCAAAAAAATCGATAACTTTGGGAGATGTCAACAGGGACAGAGGAGATAAGAAGAAGCTGAGCCTGGGGTGTCTGAACCCTCAGAATGAGTGTTTGGAAGCAGCAACCTGGGATGCCTGGGGACATGCCATGGGGACAGTGTTGGGATTGGAGCCCAAGCACTAAGCTCACCCTTGAGGGAAGGAACTGAGCCCAGCAAAGAGCTGCTGCTGGCCTTGCTTCTGATGCAGGATTTGAGAGAAATGCAGCTCCAAGGGCTGAGCTTTTACTCATAAGCTCCTTCACAAGTTACTGTGCAGTGTTTCAAGAGGTGTCTGGATGACGTGCTGCGTGGTATGGTTTAGTGCTAGTGGTGGCAATGGTGATGAGGAGACGATTGGACTAGATGATCTTGTAGGTCGTTTCCAACCTTGTGATTCTATGATTTGATGATTCTACGTCTTTTCTAGAGAAATGAAAGGGATTTTAGTACTGGCCTCTGGTAACAGCTTTGGTTGATCGATTGCTGGTGCCACCAATCCATCCATCCATGTGAAAGCTCTTTCTGAAGCCAAGGTCATAGTGATGGAGCGTGAACTTCAGGCTGGGCTGCTAGAATTTAAATCTGAGTCCTGTTTTTCCTTAGGGGACAATGATGGTTTTGTGACCCAGTGTAACCCTACATCTGGGTCACACCAAAAACCACATTTACAAAGAACCATGAAGCATCTGCAGGAGGGAGCGAGCTAATCCTGCCAGCACACAGCCATGACTATTTGTGCCCATGCTGAAGACCCAGCATGCACAAACCAGAAACCCCACTGGTATCATTTCCAAGGGACATCATCATCTCTCCCCACTTCCTCCCCTTTCAGATGCACACATCCAGACCATAAACTGATTAGATTGTTGCTTTTACAATTAATCTTCTTGCAATTATTTTTTTTTTTTATTGTTTGTTTATGGATGCCACGTTGCTCCCGCCATAAAACATGGAACTTTCTCTGCCCCTGCACTGTAAATCGAGGTCTCTAAATTGTAGAGCAATTTATCACTGACCATTGCCCAGTTTTATGTTAATGTTTGAACATGGCAATAAAGGAATTACATCATCTTACCTCTGATCAACTTTAGGGCAAAAGGTCCTTATAAAACCAAGCTGTGCATACCAGCAAGGCATCTTCTCTTGTGTTGGGAGCACAGAAAGCCTTCCATCATGAGCTTCACTGGAAAGTACGAGCTCCAGTCCCATGAAAACTTCGAGCCTTTCATGAAAGCCCTTGGTAAGTGCCTGTGTGCATTCTGTGCTGCTCTGCCTAAGCAGTTTCCACTGATATTTGGAATAGCCCAACTGTGCTGATGTGCTGCTGATGTAGACTGAAAGCGATCTGTCAGATTTCCTATTTCTGTCTGTTACTCTGCAGTTGTTGTTTTCTAAATAAGTGTGCATGGAGATACGGCCTCAAAATAGAAGGGAAAGCGTCACTCTCACTGATGGCCTGAGGTCAAGTGATGCTCGGTGTAATTTTACAGCTTGCAGGAGAGTCCCAGCAGTCCCTGCAGCTGTGTGCCAGCAGGCCGGGTGCTGCAACATGTGCTAAACCAGCGGGACCTTGCTAGCTTCACTCAGTGCTAGATTTGTCCCATCAGATTGTGAAACGTCAGAGTAAGCAGGACACTGCTCACCACTGCACAGCTCCAGATTCTACCATTCATCAGAAAAATAGTCAGGTTGTCTAAATGCTTAGTGATGAATGTGGCTGGCTTGATTTCCAGCAGGGATTCAGGAAGGGCTGCACTACCTCTGCATAGCTGTGTGCAGGAGGGGCTCTGTCTGCCAGATCAGCTTCATGCTGATGGGACTCTGAATCTCATGTAAAAGAAAAAAAATCTTTCCTCCTTCTTCCTTGATTTATCCCATTTTCTCTGCTTGCTTTACAGTGAGGGAAGGAAAACTTCCTTCTTGGCTGGTGAGATAGCTGTTCTACTTCTAGACAACTTCCTTGAACAAGAGAGAACTCTAGTTCCCACACAAAACCCAGGAGGACATTATCTTTTATTACTCCTTCCCACTGGAGTCTTGTGGTCATTGAGGAACTGCCATCCTTGAGAGCCTCTTCCACAATAGAGTAGAAATCCTCCAAGCTGTGTGCCCTCAGATTCCATTGCATTCATTAGGCAGCAGCAGTGCACCCAGTGATGGCTCCAATGTCCTTCTAACATCTCTTGTTCCTGCACAGGGCTTCCTGATGATCATATCCAGAAGGGTAAGGACATGAAGAGTGTCTCAGAAATTGTGCAGAATGGGAATAAGTTCAAGATTACTTTTACTGCTGGCCCCAAAGTAATGACCAGTGAGTTCACCATTGGGGAGGAGTGTGAGATGGATCTGCCGACAGGAGAGAAGGTCAAGGTGAGACATCAGATCCCTCTCTGTCCAAGCCAAGGGGTTGAGGGATATTGCATCTCACAGATTCATACATTTATGGAATCATTTGAGTCAGAAGGGACACTTAAAGGCTATCCAGCCCAACTCCCCTGCAATGAACAGGGACACCTACAGCCAGATCAGGGTGCTCAGAGCCCTGTCCAGCCTGACCTTAAATGTCTCCTAGGATGAGGCAACCACCACATCTCTGGGCAACATGTTCCATTCCAGTCATCCCCCTGCACATGGGCTAAAGGGAATAACCACATCAAGGGAATTAAATCTAAAGTGTTAGATGTAGAGGGCAAGAGCTGGATAATTCCCCGGACCAATTCTGCCTCTTGCAGTTTGCATGTGTGATTTAGTGCACTGGGAAGGGTTTAATTGCTGAAACCAAGCCTGCAGGTGTGACACTCAGTGCCCTGCTCCTTGTAGGCCCTCTGCAAATCTCTTAAAAATAAATTTCTGAAAGTGATAGTGCACTGCTGTGTGACCTTCTGACAAACTCATAGCCTGGCTCTCTGAGGTTTCCACCTCCCCTCTGCTTCTATAAGGCACCATACATCCTCCCCTCTCTTCATCTGCAGCATCTCTGCGGATGAAGCTCTGCATTTTTAAAGTTATTTCATTGGAAATATAGAAAGCCAATATTTTAATAGCCACTTTGGAAAAGCAGGACAGAGAGGCTTTGGTAAATTCTTCTGACTGCAAACCTTTCTGACTGAAAAGTTTGAAGTGAAAAGAGGTTTACTTTGTCATGCTGCAAAACAAAACATACTCTCCCTTCATGTTGTTGACTTAAAGGTAGCACAAGAAAGTCAACCAATGAATCATAAACCAATAAACCTGTCCTTTTAAGTCCCAGAGGCTGTTAGCTTGCCTCCAGCCTTTTGCACTGCTGCTGTTCACACTGGGTGAGATGATTTGGCAAGATGAGGATTTATGACTCTGGAAACTCCAGTTCCTCAGCTCCAGTTCCTGGACAATACTTTTCAGTGATTCATGAAATGTCAAGATGGCACCACTGGCAAATATTGCATCTCAGCTCTACACCGGGAGAAGTTGATACTGCAGGGACTATTGAAAGCAGGAGGAACGATCACTAAAGACATGCCCCAATGAGCTGGGCTCTGAGAGTAGTATTTGCCTTGTGTGGTTTCTACCATCCCTGAAGACCCATGAACAGAAACCAGGGGTTAGGAAAAAAGTTTTACCTTCCATAAATCAGCATCTTGAGGGCAGATGAAGATGTTGTGCAGATGGACAAACAGGTGAACAGAAATTGATTTTGCTGTGTTATTTCTCTGAGTAATTTCAACAATCAATCAAGGCTGCCCTGAGGGCATCAGTGCTGTCTGAAGCCTTTATAGACATGTAGTTCCTGGTGGGCAGAAACTCAACAAACATACCAATTCAGCTGAGACCTTTCCAGAAAAATTGTATCTCTTTCATAGAGGTTTGCAGTGCCCAGAGTAAACACCCATACTCTTGCTGTGTTGTGGGCATCACCAGCACAACAATCCCTCCTCTTGGGAAAGCTACATCACCGGGGAGCAGCTTGCTCCCAGCAGTTTCAGAGGAGACAGTAGCAGCTCAGTACAGAAGGGGAAGGACAAAATGCAGGGGGTGTGCAGTGCTAACATTAATGCCTTTGTCTCTTCCCTTCTTATCAGTGTGTTGTTAACATGGAAGGTAACAACAAACTGGTTACCAACCTGAAGGGGCTGAAATCCGTGACCGAACTCAACGGAGACACCATCATCCATGTAAGTGGAGAAGAGAAGGGCAATGGCCAGATTAACAGTGCAGACAGCTGCCTTCAGGGTCCAAGGGGGGCGAGGCACTGCAAAGCCTACAGTGATGCTAGAGACCTTAAACAGGTGCTGGAGATGACCACATGCTTGCATTCAGGCTCTGTAACCAAAGCAGATCAGTTGACCAGGCAATGAAGGCATTGTTTTTGAAACAGTCTGATTCACTAAGTGCCCTCTCAGATCCTACCAGGCACTGCTGATCAAAGTTATATGTAATGAGGGCATGTTTTCAGCCATATTTATAGGTTTAGGGTGGGGCCTGGCACCTGTAAAGAGGAAATGTACAATTCTGATTCCAGTCAGTGTCAGATTATCCTTATCTGTGTTGGGGTACTCATGAATATATCCCAAGCTTTAATAATTTGATTTATAGATGATTAGATGGAGATCAGTCCTGTGCTGATTTGCAAGACCAGATCTTTTCCAAGTAGGGTTTGGAGCCAAGTGCAATGCAAAGCTAACAATTTCTATTGTTTTTCAGACCATGACGAAGGGAGACCTCACCTACAAGAGAATTAGCAAGAGAGTCTAGAGACCCTGCACAAACTTATCATTTTACTATGTAGAATGAGTTCCATTAAAGTAAAATTTGTATGAAAACATCTTCATAATAAACCTCTTTGCTTTTGCTATAAAAAAGTGCAAGCCTCCAAAACTCACAAAAACCCTGGAAAAAAAACTGGGCAGCAGGCTGAGCCAAGCCATCGTGAGACCCTCTGTGTTGCTGCTTGTCAGCCCCATTCTGAGATTCAGGCACTACTGTCCTTCTTGGGACGTACTGCTGGGCTGCACACAGCTGGGTGGATGGAAAAGTACTGTGCCAAGACCAGAGAAAGGGTTCTGTCCCCTTCCTTAAAGACTTGGCCGAAGTGACATCAAAGTAATTGGCAGGGCCAAAGAACGAGGTGGTTGAGGGTGGCAGATGTTGGTGAACCTGCCTGGAAAGCTGCCGTGGGGCAGAGACCAGCAGTGGGGGAGTTGAGGCATCCCAGCAGCCATCCCTATGCTCACTTATTCAAAAGAAGAGCAAGACCTACAGGCTCTGGCCACCCCATCACCGCCTCTCCCCCATCCTTTCCAACCAGCAAAGGGCACCAGACAGCCTTTAGGTGTTCAGTTTTGCCACGAACTGTGCCTGATAAATTGGGTTACTGGATATAAACTCTGGAGTGAAATACAGGTTTTCTCTGCTCAGAGGAGGTCAGCACTGGTTATTCATAGCGCAGACATAGGAGCACCATGGTCAACTTCAACGCTTGGTGCTGCAGGCTGGATGGAGACCTGGTTTTCTGAAATCAGGAGAGAGGAAATTCTCCCTTCTTAGCTGACTTTTCCAAGCTCTGTGCTTGAAAGCTAATTGGGATTTTTTGCTGGGAACTGAGTGTACTGCTTGTGTAATATACCTACCTAGGATGATGTTCTCACAACAATTCAAAGCTATAAGAATGTTAGGAAAACAACACCAGTGCCTCCCTATCTCCTTCTACAATTCCAATGTGTGCTGTTAAAGGACTAATTTGTCCTCCTGTGCACCTCTGCCATAATTTCCCCATCAAAGAAGGTTTTCAAGCTGCAAATTGGCATTGATCTTCATGTTAGAAACTAAACCAATAGAGATTGTCACAGTTGAGGTCAGATAGGTACCTCCTTGACAAGTGGAAGGATCTAGTTCAACATCTAAAGAGCTGAAGTTTGTGTCCAGCAAACTCATCTTAGAACTGGAGGATCACCACCAAAATCTCTGAGAAATGTCAAGAGGAAAAAGCCTGGTTTTGTTTTCTTGCTATTCTTGCTATTTTGCTGAGGAGCTGGTAGGGGATTTCTGAATAATCAGTCCTTTTTCATCTCTTTGTTATCAATGAAGATCTGGAGCAAATAATTTGGATTTACAGATGGGCAGACAGCAAAGATTTTTTTGTTATTTGGAAATCCATCCATTGCCATTAGACTTTTCCTTCTCTCCATTCAGGCTCAGTGCAAAACTGATTAAGCACCTAAGATGAAGGACTGGTACAGGTAAGCATCAGAGCCCCCAGCTCTGAGCAAAGGGGGTTCCCCTCCTGGAGAACTGCCTGTTCAGTAAAAACAATCCACACAGCCACTGCACCACACTACTGCGAATGGCATCTGGCATGGACTTCTCTCACGTCCATTTGCTGCCACCACTGTGGACATTGTGTGATTTTTAACAAACTAACTTCTCTTAACTAATGGATCTTTAGACACGAATCCCATTTAGGCACCCAGTCACTGTGGTCAGAGTCCACACAGGTTGATATTACACCCACGTCACCTGCAGAACCATTGTTCATCAGTTTTTCATCAGCAAAAGATCACTTTACTCAAAATACCATCTCTATTTCTTAGTTGCTTTGCACTTGATGCCCACAGGCATACAAGACACTTCTTGGAACCAGCTTCCCACTTGTACTGTCTGTTGGTCAACCACACATAGATATCACTGGCAAGAAGTGATGTCATCACAAGGAAGTGATGGAAAAAAATCAGAACAGAGCCAATTAAAAATTTAACTGAGGACTGCAGGACTTTCCCAGAGAGAAACTGGCTTTCAACAAGAACGTAAATAATTTTATAGCAGGTTTCTTGCTTTGATTTTTTAATGCTTGTGGTATAAAATGATGTTGCTTTTGCCAAGAGATTTTCTGCTGTGAGCTCTCAGGAGATTTTCAGGACTATCCCCGCTGGTCCGTGCTCTCAGACTGGTGGCACTGGAAACAATCCTTGGGGACGTATCACATTCACATATCACATTCCCCATGTCTGGAGGTCCCACGGGTGGTGTTACCTAACAGGCATGACTTTGTGTCAAGCTCAATATTTATTCCTTCTTGTGGAAGAGGCTCGGTGGGGCCTCATTGCTGGGTTCAGGCATGACTTGAATCTTTTGGTTTTTGAGGGCAGCTTCCCTCATCTTGTAGTACATGAACTCATTCTGCTGGAACATGCGCAGCTCCATCTCTGTCTGGACACGCATGACCTGAGAGACACAACAGATTAAACACCTGTGATGCAGGAGATCTCAAAGCCGGTGAAAAACACACTGCCTAAAAATGAGGGCTGTCCATCAGGGATGTTCTAAGCCATGTAATGACTCTGATTCTTCTTGCTCCAGGTGTCCCAGCAGCAGAACCAAGGCTGACTGGACAGAAATAGCATTTACTTTCTCAGAGCTGGTTGCCTGTGACCTATGAAGGCGAATAAGGCATCAGCCCTTCCTGCACCCAGCCCTTCTGCAGGCTCCTGGAAAACCTCATCCCTGGATTCACTATGAACAATCATTTATAGTTCTGCATTATGACAAAAGTTCAGAAGGGATTTAAGGAAATCTTTTTACACCTGTCTGTAAGTTCCTTCAACCTTTAGTTTAGCAGCACAGAGGTCAAAGATCTAGTATTTTCATCCTGAAGAAAGTGAAAAGGGAAATACAGGAATGAAGGTGCTGGAGTCTTACCCTATGAGACATAAAGAGGCGAACAGTCAAGAGACTATTTTACTTTAGGCACAAGACAGTCATTCTTCTGATAATATAAAATTGCACTACGATTATAGCTGTGCTGTTAGGGGGACTAACATCAATAAGGGATTTAATTTGGCACTGTGTAAGTTTTTTTGGCTACTAAAGGAGAATACTATAAAGCCAACGGGCCATTTGAGAGAGTTAAAGGATAAAGAAATGATCCGCCCTCATATGCAGTCATATATAGTTCATCACAGCTCAACATGTGTGATTCTCCTGGGATCTGCAGCTCTTGACCTTAAGCTAAAAAATACACATATCAGTCATTTGAGAAAAAAAATAAACTGCAGTCCAAAAGGACTAGGGAGTGGTAAATAAAGAAGAATGGTCATCAATACAAGATGAAGAATATTGGTTGGTAAGCCAGAAACAAGTTCACCATCTGTAATTTGATACAGCCAAATTGAATGCCATCCATCTGAGAGCAATGAGGTCAGGCTGTTTGAAGAATGGGAGGCTCTGCCCTTGGGCTCAGTGTTTCAAAAAAAGATTCAGGGACTCAATGGCTATTTTTAAAGCATGTACTGGTGCAGAACAAAAGATATTTTTCAGGGATGAAAATTTCCCATAGGAAGGAATGTGCACGATACAGCAGACTAAAATGACCTAGAGAAAAGGATGGCACTAGTAACAAGCAGCCATAACTTGACCTGTCTCTTACAGATGGGCCGTTCTACAGACTGAATGCAACCTCATCCAGGCAGATAACAGAGGCAAGAAGGGAGATTGTGACACCTACCTCCAGGTCTTTGGTAATTGGGTGGGAAGGTCCATGGGTTATCAGGAGAATGGCATAGGCTTTACAGATCATGCTGTGTCCGGCTTCAATGAGGCCAGCATGCCAGTGGGTCACTCCTGCTCGCATCACAGCCATCCCCAGCTGTGCGTTGTTAGGATGGTATATTTTCCTGGAAAAGCATTGAGTAATTTTAGTTCAGGAAAGATCTCAATTCCCAAATGTTTGTCAGTGATGTGACATGTTTTCCAGAGAGCAAACTGTTTACTCAGTTGAATATTCTATTGAATTTGTTGCCAGGAAATGTGCAGCCCTGCAAGGGGCACGAGGGCATGGGTTACACAAGGACACAAGGTGTTGTGAAAGAGAATGAACAACCTGCAGACAGTGTGAGCTGAACAACTGGGTTGGAGACCTGATCATGCAGCTCAGATGTCACCAACATCACAGGTGTAATGATGTGCCTAAATTGAAAAGGCAACAATCATCAACATCTCATTAACTAAGGCCTCATATTACTCAAGAGTGAAGGGATATCTTGAGTGACAGTCATTTGACACAGCTCCTCTTTTCTCTGCAACTTATCTTTCCTGCAGGTTGCAGGAGAGCAGACCAGGTCCTGCAGTGATGATCTCTCTGTCCCACACTCAGGCTCTGTGCTTTGCTACTAGGGCAGCCCTGAGATGCTTCTGAGCAAACCAAAGAGGCTAATGAAAGATGACCCAAACTACTTGTCATTTACAGTTAAGTAATTCAAGGTGTTTGAAAGCATTTAGGAATGGGTTCCTCTCTGTCTGGTGATCAGATCAAGATCTGAATGCCAGCACTTTCGTTCCGATGGGAGCAGACTAAGAAAATAACTTCTATAACACATTGCCTAACACTGCATAACCAGAGAGAGCTGCCAAAAACAGAGTAGAGCCATACATGTAGCCATCCACCATCCTCTTGGCATATTCAGCTGCTTCCTCAAACATCTGGAGGTAGGAGAGGACCTCAGAGGCAATGCTGAGGATCCTCAGGAGGTAGATGTTTGTGTCTCCCAGCACAGGCTCCTGTTTCTTCAGGCATTCACGGCACAGCTTCACAACCTACATCAGAAAGCAGGGAGAAGGAGGAGAAAGTCATAGCACCACTGGCCCTGAAGCTGCCACTCCTGAGCCTTGTGTGGTCCACACCAGTCCTAGAGGCCAAGTCAGACTGCATGAAGGTTGGAGAAGATACAGTATGCTTTTATATGTCCATAGCATCAGTCTAACTAAATGATTTGTGCTCAAATCTTCCTCTACCAGGGTTACTTTCAGAAAGTAAGCAAGGAAGAAGTGATTACGCCCCTCCTGCCATCCACCCAACCTCCTATAAGCA